CGCCGAGCCCCATGAGGGGCCCGGCGGTGGACCTGCAAGGCCGGCGGGAGTGCAAGGAAGCCCCGCGAAGGCCCTCCCTGGCCCCAGGCAGGCAGGGGTGGGGAGAGGCAGGGAGGAAGCAACTTACCCTCCTTCTTCTCCTGCCTCCTCCTGGCTGAATGAGGGCCAGAAGCGGGACGGCCGGAAGCAGGGGGCGGGGCTTCGTCATGTGCCCCGCCCCCCGTACCTCACCCGGGGGAACTGTGATCCCCCGCGATCCCCCCCGAAATGACCTCTGAACAGGACTGATTAAACTTGAGAACCTGATAGCCTGAGAAGCTTCATAATGCTACCTGGCAGGTGATGGGGCATTGCCCCCACTGGGAAATACTGGAGGGCCTGGCAGCCTGAGTGGGCAGGAGCCCTGCTGCCCCCTCGCCCTAAAGTTTACGCCCCTGCCTATAATGTGCTGCCATGTGAACTTGTAGCAGACGTTGGCTGTAACCTGATATCTATTGATGTATAGAACAGTTTGTATCCTGCCCCCAGAGGTGAAAGTGACTTATACATTTTAGTAGTATGGTTTTTCTCAGGGTGTCTTAAAGTGGCAGATGGGAGGTGAAGGTTGACGAGGGTTCAAAAAGAATGACAGGGCACAGGTCTGCAGAAAGCTGTCTGAAGCTGTCTCGCTTCAAGCGTATTTATTAAGAATTGTTCACTCATTCCCCCTCCTTTATATCAACAATTACATAGTCATTAACATGAGCTACCACATTCAGGAATTTTGTTATGCCAACTTCGCACTTCCCTTATCTTCCTGGGCTCTCTGCCAAATGACTTCATCTGCTTAGGAAGTCACCAGATGCTAACTCGTGCAATCAGCACACAAACACTTTTGGGTTCCCAATTTCCAGCCAGGAGAAGTGCTTACTGGGTTTGCCACAGATAACCACTGTTCCTTCAAGGAGGTACCACTTTTGCCATTTTCTTACTAGTACTCTGTACCAGCCTACTTTCACCCTTGAATGACCCTTAGTCCAAAAGCTTTGGGGACAGCTTGTGTGTGTGTGTGTGTAAAGTGCTGTCAAGTCGCAGCTGACTTATCTTGACCCCGCAGGGCTTTCGAGGCAAGAGAGGTTCAGAGGTGGTTTGCCATGGCCTGCCTCCTGGACTTCCTTGGTGGTCTCTCATCCAAATACTGGCCAGGTCTGACCCTGCTGAGCTTCTGAGATCTGACAAGATCAGGCTAGCCTGGGCCATCCAGGTCAGGGCATCTGACAACATTTAAAAAACAAGATATGCAATAATCAAATGGCAATAAAATAAAAAAGTAAAAAATATCAAAACCATAACCTCATCACAACCCCAGCAAACAACATGTCCTCATTCAAATTAACATCAGCTAAAACAGCACACAAGCATATAAAAATGCGGCAGCAGCAGCATTTGGGATTTGAAACTCTTGTGACATATATCCCGGGAGCCTTGCCTCCTTTTTAAAATGACTGCATGCATCCCATGGCGCTCAGGGGTTTTTCTTCTGATTTGGCTCCTTGTCAGGCCAAAGAGCCTGGAATGTGGAGCTGTAGTTTTGATTGTCCCTGAGTGCTGTGCCCCCCTCCTGCTGCTTCACACCAGTTTGGTGTAGTGGTTAAGTGCGCGGACTCTAATCTGGGAGAACCGGGTTTGATTCCCCACTCCTCCACTTGCACCTGCTGGATGACCTTGGGCAAGCCATAATTCTGGCACAGCTGTTCTTGAAAAAGAGCAGTTTCTGTCAGAGTTCTCTCAGCCCCACCTACCTCACAGGGTGTCTGTTGTGGGGAGGGGAAGGGAAAGGAGTTTGTAAGCCGCTCTGAGACTCCTTTGGGTAGTAAAGAGCA